ACAACCCTTGTTGATTGATTACTAGCTGTTTTTTAATTTTAATTGACTCCTTTATCCAAGAATTTTGAGAATCAAATCATAATTTTTATCCATATAGATATAAATATATCATTTTAGTCATCTACCCAATATCTTTGCTTAAGATTGGATCAATAAGTTTACATAATCTTTTGGTTTGTTATGGTTTTTCCTTCTCAGATTTTTAGATATTTTTCTTACTGGGAATACAATTATCTGCAGCTTTGAAGCCACAAGACAAATCCGTCTCATGGAAAATAGAGTCAATGAGCTCATTCACTCTGGAGATGCATCAATGGAATTGTATGGTAATAAAACACATTGTCATGTACCTATACTGGCCATGACAGCTGATGTAATTCAGGCAACACATGAAGAATGTCTACGATGTGGTATGGATGATTATGTCTCAAAGCCTTTCGATGAACGACAGCTCTACTCTGCTGTAGCACATTTCTTTGAGTCTGATATGGTAGATGGAGTTTCATAAGAGATAAAAGGTTTCTGACTGCTAAGACATGATTCTGGCCTTCACCTAAAGCATGTATCTAGCAATCTCAAGGTGTTGAGTGACAGAAGAGATAATGGCTGACATGAGAGCAACGGAGCAGCGTGGCAGTCGTTCAAGCTTAACCAACCTTCTGGACATTCTGGTTTGGTAAGCCATGTTGCACAATTATTCCTATTAATTTGGTGGAAGTTGATTCCACAAAGACATTCATCAATTCATTATCGAGTCTCCTTAGTAACAGCTAATGTTTCTTACATTATAGATTGTTGTTTCTGGTGCTCAAGAGCATCCCCTGGAATGTCTCTTAGCTGGGCTAAGGCACTTTAAGCACCATACAAGTTCCAAAATCACTTGTTTCTATGGGAAATTTTCTGATTTATGGAACATAACAATGTTATGTATGAGTAGAAAGACAGTATATATGTAACCTACCCCAGGCACCTGGTCAGAAATATGAATGTTAAACTGCTATGAGCCTTTTCTACATAAAATAAATCATTTCATAAGAGATCCTTTTACAAGATGCAACAATTGCAAGAAAAAAAGTAAAACTGACTAAACTGTGATGACATAGAACTCAAAACAAATCGATTAATTACCAGCAATTTAGATAAACAAATGCAGTTTGCAGCAAGCTAAGCTCTTTGTTCTATTCAAAAGCCTAATGAACTAATTAACGTTGGAGCAACCAAGTAGAAAAAGGAGGCACATATGCAGCTGGTTTGGAGTCAATTTTTAAACCATCAAGTACATTATTATTTTACTTTTGATACTTACTGTTCCAGACCCTGCTTTTTTGGCTGGTAACCTTCTATTTATGAACTTATATCTCAGTGCAGTCATTAATTGTTGAACATCTCCAGCAGAATTGGACTGCTAATTCTTTTATCAATTCTTAGAAAGCTGGTCCTAGATGTTCAAATTCAAATGCATTGTCATGAAGATTAGAAGATTATTGTCTGATTAAGCAGATGTCCTGATTGTAATTTTTGTCCAGGAGCACTCAGCTACCAGTTCTACATAACAAATTTCTCTCAAGGTACCACTGAAAGAACAGAGGTAATGCTCATATGCTGCAATGTTGTATTATTAATGTAAACAGATTTGCAATTGTATTTTGTTGATTCATATGTTTTGGTTATACTTTGAAGATTCCATGTAGGAGATATAATTTTTTATTTATTGAGAGTTGTAGATAGGCAGGCTATAGTTATGACTATAGGGGAATAGCTTCGAGCATTCTATACTGCCATGAGTTTTGGGCCAAATGCTGTAATTTTATCAGATCCTTGTGATATAATAAGATCATGTTACTTTAATGTTCCTGGAGCAACATTCTTGTAGTACAAACTTCAATTTCAGAAATTTTCGTTGAACTTGGATGTTCCTGTTGTCTATTGTTCTCCGGATATAATATTTTTGTAACTCATTAAAAACTTGATGCCTGTCTTCTTTGTTATGCTTTATTTATACCCACTTAGGCATATTATCTGCGAAATTATAACTGTTGTGTACTTAGTTCCTCCAGGCAATCTTGTACTATTAATAAATCCTTATGTTTCTGAAATTTAATTTTGCATGGACATGATCATGTTATCTGCTGAATTCTGGATAATTGCTTCATGCTATGCCAATTTTTAAGATAATGACCGTGATGACTGGTAATGATGGCCAATATAATCATACTTGGGGAATGCAGTTCTCCTGAGTTGTTAGCTGTTACAATCTATAATTGATAATGAACGTTCAGTGGTTTTTAGATGAAACTTTCATCATAATTTGTCGCACGAAACTTTGTTTTTCGAACTTTCTGTTGCAATTACAGATCATTTGGCCAGAAATGTTGATTATTTTTTTGTTCCTCATGTCTAGCAACAACCTTGTGTGACACTTTTTGATACAATAAATGTTGTTAATGACTATGATCAATATATGGTATTTTTCAACTATACCTGTCATGAACATGAGATTTGCAACAGAGGTATTTTGTTCTCCAACTTGGGAGGTAAAAGAGCACAACAGCTGAGATAGATGCTTGTGTATGAAAACCAAGGCTCATATCAAAAAAGAGAAAAAAAGGGCTGGGTGCGGATGAATTGATTGCCTTCTATATGGAATTTGGCATTACAAGCTGAAGCTAATCTTGTGGTAGAGATTAATCTGTTCCAAGCTTTGGATTGTTTGCCTGACAGTAGATTTTGCTCTGAAACTTTATTCCAGAAACATCGCACTGGGAGAACAGTTCCTAATCGATGGATTTGCCATCAATTGGACTTGTACATTAGCTGCAGATTAAATCCATTGATTTTAACTTCTTTATTATGAATCCTACAGGAGGTTCCACATGATGTTCATTTCATTTGTTCTACAGCTGCTTGTGAAACTGATTCCAAAGTTTGTTAAAGAATTTTTCGGGAAGATGATGGGTATAAAAAAAAAATCAAAGCGATAAAAAAAAAAATAAAATAGAAAATTTAAACCTAAAACCTGTTATTAACCATAATAGCTTATTATTTTTGAAATTCTATCTCTCAGTCTCTAGTGGCTTTTACTTCGTATCTCTTTGTTCTGTTTGTATCCATCCGTAGATGATCATGCTTATCCCACAATTCGAAGAGGTCAAGCCGAGAAGGACATCCATGCTAAAAACTGAGTATTCACTTCCGATGTTCATTGCTGTTAACCTTGCCTTCAATCTCAGAAGGTCCCAAACGCTAAGAGTTCCCATCATCATGTTCATTTAGAGGAATGCACGTTCCAAAACGACTTCCTCCTAGAATTGGAACTTCAATCATATTTCAATTATTGAATACTTGGCCTATTTATTCAACCGATAGTGGACCTTAACAACCTATAACTTTTTTTTCTTTTAACCTAAACTTATGACAGTTAGGGTAGAAAAAAGAGGGGCAGCGATGGTTGCAGATGTGGCAGGAAGAATAAGAGAAGAGAAGGGAAGAAGACGACGATAACGTGCACGGTAATGTAATCATTGTTTCCTTGTTATGCTCTTATGATTGTTGAGTGGGTTTTAGGCAAGAAATTCTAAGATTTATACGTTCATTATTTTTATAGTAGATTTGCTTCTCTAGCTTGCCTTGTAGTTTTTTTCTTTCATGTTAAAGATGTTTTCCATGTAAATTTTGATGTTCTATGTGATTATAATTTTTATTTAATTTTTTTATTATGTGTTACGACCTACTCGTAATTGTTAGTATACAAAGTTTTTTTTATCTCATCAACTAATATCATAGCAAGGTTTTGGTGACATTTAATTTTTATGTCTGAACATGGAGGCTGGTAGTATTTTCCACATGGTTAGCTTGAACAAAAACAATTGGATGATATGAATGTTAGACTATGTGGCCCTATTTAATTATGTAAGATATATTATGGATATTATTGGATTCTGATTATGGTTATTGGCTAATAGAAAAGAAGTCCATATTAAAGTAGGATTTCTTAGGAGATAATCTTGATGGGAGGAACTCTCCTAATAACTTATCCTAGACCCTCTACTCTCGCCTATAAATAGACAGGACCTCTAGGGGCTAAGGGGATATCTGATAGACAAGACCTCTAGGGGTTAAGTATGCATCTGAGTAGTGCATCATCTAAGTGTATCAGAGTGTATCTGAGTCAATTGAGAGATTAAAGTTTTTCTCTCAATCTCCCTCTCGTTTTTCTCTCAATCTCCCTCTCCCTTAATTCCCTAATCCATCAATCTTGGTGGTCCTGTGAAAAAATAGGAAGAGAGGAGAAGAGAGGAGAAGGATCTAGTTCTCCTTGCAGATTGATATTTCAGATTCGAATATGAAGCGCTTGTAGATCAGATAAGGTTTATTCTTATGAACAACAAGAAAGGTACGCATCGTAATATTGTCAGATCTAATTTATTTGATTTCAATCTTGGCATGCAAACCTGGTCCTAAAGGAACCTAAAATTACTCAATATAACATGATAAGCAATTAAGATTGGTTTTTGAGGCACCCAACGTCAAATAGGTACCTAAAATCATCACAAGCTAGGAGCAAGAGATGATATCTTATTTTTGGGTGCTTAAGGTTTATGACCAAAGATCCAAAATAACTCATAAAGCTCTCTAGCCAAAATAACAAAAAAATGGATCATTAGAATTAAAACTATCAATTACAAAATGATACTTATAAGTTCATGATGCAATCTTGTGTGATAAACACTTAACATTGATCACTCAAATTTTGAAACTTGTGAACTCTTTTCCATGAATTCCCCTTCTCACATCTTCCAGATTTCTAAATTTATCGGATACATTCCTTCCTTAATTTTTTTTTTCCGAATCGAATTCTATCTAACAAGATCATGAATCTGTGTTCGGACTTTCTTTGGATCACTCACATTAATCATGATCTTATAGTGTGCACAATGAGTCATATGCATTTTTTCATACGAGTTTTACGATGCTAGTTCTATATAATGTTTGGATATGGCATGCATTTTATGTGATCAATCATGAACGTATGAATCTTCTCCTCTTATGATGTGAATTTTTACATGACGATGAAAATAAGGTTGTGTGCTTCACAAACAAAAACTTCCTTCAAATTGAAATCACCCACATCAGCCCCACACAACCTTGTGAGCAGTGCTCACTGCCTACGGGCGATGGCACCGCCTAGCTGGCGGTAGTACCGCCAGTTGTCTCGGGTGACAGGCGGTAGCACCGCCAGTTGTTTCGGGTTGTAGGTGGTAGCACCACCCAGCTAGCGGTGCCACTGCCCGCAACCTCTGCCCTATAAAAAGGCACTTAGGGCCGGCGGTAGAACCGACCCCAAGCCCTCCTACATTTCTCCTAACACCTCTAAACACCTCTCCACCCCTCATTCTCCTTGATCCTCCTCTAGAAACTCAAGAAAACCCTCCTCTTCTTCAAATTCAAGGATCAATCTCAACCTTTCAAGAAGATTACTGCAAGGGTAATTCTCAAACCTCTTCTCTCAATTTATAAATAAATCTTGCCTCATATGTGTAGTTCTTGGTATCATTTATGTGTTTAGACTCATGACTTCTAGAAGATCCTCTAAGGACAAAGGGAAGAGGAGATTAGAAGAGAATTATAACTCCCTACTTTTCGATTCTAATCAACATGCCCTAAAATTTGCATCCATAGAATCTAGACATGTTTATAAGGGAAAATATGTTGATTTAGATGAACTAAGTGATTTGGAACCTATTCAATGGTTTGCAAATCTAGACATTCTCCCAATTCTTCAAATAAGTGAACCTATCTACCCTAGACTTGTTAGGTTATTTTACAATAATATACATATAGATAAAGAAGAAAGGGTATCTACCTATCTATTAGGACATCATATATCCATTACGGATAGATCAATTTGCGAGATCGTAGGTATCTCGGTAAAAGAAAGAGGTTGTTATTTTATAGGACAATGGGATAATGAAACAGTTGGGACCACTTATGTTGATGCCTTAAGAACAATTTTTGGCAATCCTAACTTAATGATACTTCTAAAAAGCTATGAACATTTGCTATCTTTAAGCACCAAAATACTTCATCACATCTTGATTAATATCATTCTCCTATAGCAATATCATCATGATGAAGTAAGCCAAATGGAACTAGGTACCATGTATTGGATCATGAAGGGATATAACAATTGTTTTGGTTACCTAATCCAACAAAACATGATTGAAATATCAAAAAAGGACATGATGCTTCCATATGGTGGCTTAATCACAAGAATACTTCATGCCTACGATATTGCCATTCCACCTGATGAAGAAGTTATAAAACTAGATAGATTTAGTATCATAAATAAAAATGTACTTCGACGGATGAGATGTACATTCAGAAATGGTATGTGGATTAGATTGCCTAGAAGGACCGATCCCCTCCAACTTGAACCAGAACCGGAAACACTAATATTTAGGAGTAATCAATCCCCTCCAACTGGTCCCTTTGAGGAATCACCTCCAATAGAGCAAGCACCTCCTTCATCTATCGAAGACATAGGGATTCGGATGGATTGTTTTGAATAACGACATGATTGACTTGAACAACGCCAAGATCAAATCTTAACTGAGCTGTAGTAGATTCATCGATAGTTTGATACCTTGTTTAGACATTTTAACTTTTCACCACCTGAATAAGCTGTTTATATATTTAGGAAAAGTGGACACAATTCTTCCTTGTTATGTTGTAATACTATGTTACTCACCTTAATGATCGCAATGCTGTGCTTTTATGCTACTTACTTTGATAGTAAAATTCTGCGCTAACTACCTTGATGGTTAAATTCTAAGCTTACTTTAATGAATATATCACTCTAAGAATTAGACTTGATATGTCTTTTAAATGGATAAAGTCCTTGATATATTGGTATCT